CTCCGGTGAGCCACAGGCCGGCCGACTTCGGCGCGAGTGACATTCAACCAGCGCGAGTGCTTGCGGCCGCGTTGCTCACAATCAAAGCTCTATTCCTGATGCCCATCGTTTCACGTGCAGGCGCAGGAAAGGCCTGCCCGGCAGAAGCGACTGGGTGGGGCGCCTGGGCCTGGGACAGGGTCCGAGAGGTGGCGCAGCCCCGGGCATCCCTCCCGCAGGCTCTTGCTGACAGCTCCGCTGGACGCGGGCCTGTGGCCTCCCAGACGGAGGTGCCGACTGGCGACCTGGGTCACAGGGGTGGCGACCCTTTTCCACTTTGGGAAAACGCCTCCTCTTCCTCGCCTTCTTCCGAAACGGACAATTGGGACAGTCAGCTGACGCCGTGGCTCCGGGACCAGGGCCCGCGCTCTCCCCGCCCCGCCCGCCCCGCCCGCCGTCACTGACACGCCCGCCTTGGCCGGCACCTGCAGACAGACGGTGGCTGTGGCCCGGAGTGCGTGTGTGCGCCAGATTCCCTCATCCTGTGACCTATGGGCCTGGTATTTGAAGTGCGTGGGTGTGGAGTGTGAACGGCGCTCAAGTGTTTTTCTCAGGCAGCTGTAGCCAGGCCGGGAAGAAGCCAGGGCAGGGGACGGGGAGCAGATCTGTGACACCCCTGCCCTCCCCCGCCATGGGCTCTGCAGGGGCGGGAGACAGGGCTGTGACTGCGGGAGAGAGTGAACGTGAGTCCCTGCGGGAGAGGCTCAGTGACCCCCTGGCCGTGACTTTGGCCTCAGGAGAGGAGCAGAGGCCGAGGCCGGAGCATGGGTGACGCTGAGCAAGGCTCAGCTCCCGGGGCCACGCTGCGGGTCGCAGGCCTTGGGGTCGCAGGCGCCCTGCATGGGCATTCCCAGATGAGGGAGCCAGGAAGGGGGCCACGGGACCCTCCCTCTCATCCTCGGCCAGGGCGGTGGGGTTCCCTGAGGAGTACACTGAGCAGCACACACAGGAGGCCTGAGTAAGAGGGGGAAGAGACGGCGGGGGAGACGGCATCATGACTGTGACCCGAGGCAGCAGGAGCAGGAGCCGGCTCTGTCACTGCCTGGAGGAAGGCCGGGCCTGCCAGCGAGCGAGCTGTGTGGCCTCGGGCAGGCTGCTTAACCTCTCTGGGCCCTCGGCTTTGTCATCTGTGAAATGGGGAGTCCTTTCCTCTCAGTGTTGTTGTGCAAGTTCAATGGAACCCTGAACAGCAATATCAACTTAATGATCGCCAAAGACGGAGCAACATGATCCCACCAGCCCACGGCTGCGGGCGGTCCCGTGTGGAGGGGCTGGGGTCGGGGGCAAGGTGTGCGTCAGGGTTCTGCAGGGCAGCGGGACGGAGCCCAAGACCCACCAGGAAAACTACGCTGTCTACTGACCTTGAAGTTCAAGCTTGCTCCTGCCCCACCAGCTGGCGACCTTTGCAAGGCACAGCTGTGACTGGCTGCCGGGCTCTCTGAACCAGCCAGGCCCACGCTCCCCACGGGACATGTGTCAACCCCTAAGCGCCGTATGGGCACACAGACGGTGGGGCAGAATACCGACGGTTTATTCTGTGGGGAAGAAGGTCCCCGCGAACATTCCTGGATGCCGGCTGCCCCACAACTCCAAGGCCCTGGGGCCATGACCTCCTGCAGCCACTGTGGTCGCATAAAGCCACTTCCCCGCCGCGGCTGGGCCTCAGTGGCTAGACCTCAGGATGGTGGCAAATGTGCTCCCTGGTCCCCAAGGGCCAAGGGAGGCGAGAGGATTAGAAGGTAAGAAGGCCACTCTAGCCCTGGCCGGTGTGGCTCTGTGAATAGAACGGCCTGTGGACTGAAGGGTCCTGGGTTCGATTCCCATCAGGGGCACGTATCTCGGTTGCAGGCTCCTCCCCAGCCTGGGCCCTGGTTGGGGCTCCT